ATCACAATTAACATTCTCAAATATTTAAAATGTATCACTCTTAAACTGAATATATAGAAAGCATTTTCACAACTCCAACTTTCAATTATACATAGGCAATTAGTATAATCTCACAAGAATATGCTGCGAATAAACTTTAGCAATATTCTCAAATATGCCCGAATGTATCACTATATGAACACCTTTGGGTTGAATATATAGAATACAATCAACATCTTTAAACTTAAATATAATCTTAATTAATTATGCATGGGCAATAATTATAATCTCACAACAATGGGCTGCAAATAAATTTTAACAATATTGTCAGATGTTTCAGAATGTATCATTATATAAATACCTTTGGGCTAAATATATAAGACACATTCTAACACCTATAAACAAGTCAACTAGCAAGAATGATTTATCAAGAAATTATCTCCTTTGGGTAGATAAATTCTTTCAAAATCAATAAAATTTTCCTTACTAGCGGCTCACACTACCTCTAAATTAATACACACGATTAACCCCCTTTGGGTAGGTAATTGAGTGATATAATATTAGAAGAGTTTCCCAGAATCCTTATTAGTAAATCACTTTAAATATCAATAAGTTAACCACTTCGACAGTATCACCCACATTGATTCAAAAATCTTCCAACTGGGACTATATCAAATAATAAATATTTGTTTATTTTTAAAACTTTATTTAACGAATATGAGAGTACATATGATTGTCAAGTTTTGTTGTTGCATACTAGCAAATCACGACTTTAATTAGATACTAATTGCCGTATAATAACAAATGAGAATTAACATAAAATTGAATTACTGCATTACATTATCATGTAAATTAAAATATAATTACCAACAATTAAACAACCATTTAATTTTATCAATCAATAAACATATGTCTAATTAAATAAATATTACCCCATAAATTTGTTTAGACTTATAAAAAATATAGCACTGACAAAATATGCACCACCTATATCAAAATTAAAAAAAAAATAGAATAAGACCATCACTGAAAAATTACAAAACACACAGCAGCATCACTTGTTTACAGTTCAAACTTGGGACATAACATAACTATAATATTATATAGCATCACAACTTCTATCAAATATGGACAACCAAACAGGGTCTTGTTTACATCTAGTTATATATATATATATATATATATAAACTAGAGCGAACCACCAAACCGAAGTATTGTAAAAAAGGAGCTATAGCTAACCACCAAACAACAGACCAAGTCGTGGTTGGGTTGGGTTAAAGAAAAATACTTATTTATTTAAATATTTATTTATTTATTTGTTTTTCTTTAATGTTATGATTCCAAGCAATTCTCAACCATGAATAGTATATATATGTAAGAACATTGAAAAAGTTTCGTCGTCCATTACCAGGCACAACGTTTCAGTAACAAAAAATAAAAATAAAAATAAAATAATTAATTTATTCCTTCTCATTGTATAAAAAAAATTTCTGAAATAATCTGTCATGATTTTGATTATAGTATAAACTTGCTCTGATACCACATGTAAGAATATAGGATCTATATACTAGAAATCAAAACACTATGAATATAATTAACTACTAAAACATAAAACTTGGATACATACCGTTTGATTCCGTTATTGTCTTGAGTTTTGCTTCTTTGAAAGATGATGGTATTCATAATCGGAAAACCTTAGCACTAGCTCTTCCCCTCCTTCTCCTAATCTTTATGTTGTCTTTCAATGGGGCTGACAACCTTTTGATCTACATATATATAGATATATGTAAACCCTAATAACGATAGGAGAGGGGACTGGGCCTAAATAAAACAATTACTAGGCCCTCCCATTAAGGAACCCAAATAACTTAAAACATGTCTTACACCTCCATACCACATATCCACATATAAAATAATATATACACTAAGATGACCATGGCCCAAACTTTATGGATCACAATAATAATTTTGGGCTCATACCAGTCAATCTATCTGAATCACGTTCAACCCGTTTTTCACAAACCAAACAAAATATAGTCAATGACAGCGTAAGTAAGAATAAATTTTTATAGTGAAGTCCTTAAGTCGGTTATGCAAGCTATCCCGGCCTATGCTATGTCCTGTTTTTCTCTTCCAAAAAAATTCAGTGATAAACTCAACTCGTATATGAGCAAGTTTTGGTGGGGAGGGGATCCAAAAGAAAATGGAATTCATTAGGCCAGTTGGGAGAGACTATCTATTGCTAAATCTCGGGGAGGCTTTTAATCTTGCTCTCCGCGTGAAGCAAGTATAAAGAATACTAAAATTTCCCAATTCCTTTTGTGCTCGGATCTTGAAAGGTGTTTATCACCCACATTTGAATATTCTTTCAACTAGTAGGGGTAGACAGGCCTCGTGGGCTTGGTCTAGTATTATGCAGGGTAGGGACCTTCTTCTAAAGGGGGCTTCAATGGCACGTCGATAATGGCACTTCTATTAATTTATGGGAGGACAAGTGGGTTCCCTTATCCGTAGATTTTAAGCTTCAGTCCCCCAAGTCCAAGGTTGTCCTGTGCAAAAGGTTGCGGAGGTCATAACTCAGTCTCGAGTGATGTGGGATCAAACTGCTCTTCAGACCACAGTTGCACAGGAAGATGCTTATAAAATTCTCACTATTCCTATATCTTCGGAAGGCAAATCTGATTCCCTGGTTTGGCACCATACTACGAAAGGTGAGTTTGAGGTCAAGATTGGGTATTAGGTAGCGCTTCTGGAACAACATAATGCTACCAATACAATGGCGTCCTTCTCTACCGTGCCACTGAAGGGCTTCAGGAAGCTAATTTGGTCTCTTCCGGTCCCTCCTAAGATTAGGAATTTTTGGTGGAGAGTTTGTTGCAATAAACTAGCCACGAAGGAGAATTTGTTTAGACGTTATTGTATTGTTTCAAAATTGTAACCCATCTGTCTTGCCCAATTGGAATCCATTGAACATCTCCTGTTTCAGTGCAGTTGGACTCGTGCTATTTGGATTGGGTGTGATTTGGGTTTTTGCGCTGGGGAAGATTGCCACTGTGGGGTGGTATATTTGGTGAGCTCGAAACTGCTGGGTCTTCATTCAATCTTGGATTGATCCATCCTTAGTCGTCAATCAAGTCTCTGCCTACTGGAGGGAGTTTAATCGGGCTCTCAGCCCCATCATAGAGTCCAACCGAGGAGATCCAGCCTCCTCAGCTAGCTGTCCTAAGTGGAGTTGCCTAGTTCCTGGGTCCGTGAAGATTAATTGTGATGCGAGTTTCTCTGTCACGGATAATCAAGCTGTTGACTGTGGATTCTTCTTTGTAGCCCCAGGGCGTTTACTCGTTCAAAAAATAAATAAATAAAAATTATTAATATTTTACTCACATTTTCTCTTTCTTTTTCTTAAAAATTTCTACCCAAATTTATGATCCAAACACAGCTTAAAATAAACTTTCATACCTAGGAAAGAACAAGCTTTTGATCTTTTATAATTGAAAAGAAGAAAAATTTATGTAAAATGTACTTCAGATATATTTATTTGATACTTCTTTTAATTTCAAATTTTTTTCTAAACATATATTTTTAAATAATTTTAGAAAATTTTCATAGATCTCTCTTCACCTACTTATGTTTCACTTAGTACAAATTATTTTCTTAAATTCCAATAAATCCTATGGATGACACAATTCCCAAAATACCCCTGATGATGATGGGGTGAAATGTCCATTAATGTTCACACTGCCAATGTAAACATCCACACTATTAAATTTATTTAATGTGAATTTTCACATTATCAGGTTGCTAAGGGTTCAAAAAATATTTGTAAAGGTAAAGTTATTCATAAAATACCGTAAATATAAAAATTAGGATTTGGTAGATCAAATATCCAAAATAATAAGTCTTATTAGAATATAAGAATATCTTATGGATTAACGGAGATCCAAATATTTGAAAGAGGATTTTCTAATAAATTCCACAATAATGTTTCTCATATTATAATATGAAATATATATATATATATATATACATTTTGACATGTCCACATAACTTTTGGATATATCCCAATATTCTAAGATTTAAGTTTAGAAAGTCTTGTACTTGGATAGGCATTAACAACCAATACTCATACTTGAAGCCATGTAACATAGATACCTTTGAGAGCAATGTTATATGAACTTAAATTCGTACTAAATATCTTACTAAAAACGTACATGTCACCACATTATTGGATGTTTAAGTATCATTACTTTTTTAACAATCAATTATATTTTCTTTCTTATATTTTTAATAAAATTTTTAATAACATTGTTAGTATATGAAAAATAATTCTACTTTTATTATAAAGAATTATACAAGTTCAATGCTTTGATAAGCTAGTAGATCTTAAAGTTTATACAGGATAGTGTATTAGTTGGTAAGTAAAAAGGAGAGAGTGAATTGTTGGGTACGCTGCTTCAGGTGTGCTATCATTATTAATCATGAATTTAAATAATAATATTAAGAGTAATTCTCACAAGTAATATATTAAATTGCACAAGAATTAATAGCCCTGTACAGTAAATCCAATTTTTTTGAATTTTTACGGTCGTGTTTGAATGATAGATTTGAATATGGATTTAGAAAGGAAAAAAGAAAAATTGTGTAAAATGTAGTTATATTTTGTCACATATATTTTCTCTTTCTTTTTTTAAATCTTCATCTAAGTTTATGATCCAAACACAACTTTCATACTTTAGAAAGAACTAACTTTTGATCTTTTATAATTGAAAAGGAGAAAATTTTATGTAAAATGTACTTCAGATATATTAACTTCATACTTCTTTTAATTGCAAATTTAGCAATATAGTAAACAAAATTTTGATTTTTGGAAAAATCATGATTTGATAGTTTTAAAATACTTACTTCTCAATTGTCTGAAGCTTGGTTTCCTTTTTGGATACTTTGGAAGTTAAAATGTGACTTATGCACTTAATGGAAGAAAAAGAGAGAGAAAAACAAAAGTATTCATATAAACAACATACCTTTTCAATTAGGTACAGTGTGGTTTGATTGAGGTCACTTATCCATAGCCAGTCTTCTCCTTCTCTGCCTGGGTACCACTTGACTCTTCCCTCCTGCACAAATACACGTTGCAACTTTGGGGTGCATATGACTCCAGGAGAGAAGGTCTTCATTTCAGGGCAATTGAGGACAGTGATGTTTTCTACCAGTGGCAATTCCCAAACATGAGTAACGTGGCAAAAACTCTTGAGCTCTGGTAGATCTTTGAGTTTCAAATACTCCAATTTAGGCAATGGAGTTCTGTTTATCCTTCCTTCTTTATCTTCCTCCTTTGCAACTACTTCTTCCATCATCAAGCATTTTCTTATGACTAGCTCTTTTAGATGCACAAGATATCTGGCCATAAAAAGAGAGAACAGATTTTTCAAACTGCCACAATTTGAGACATACAGTTTAATTAGTTTGTTGAACGAGTCGGTCTGAAGTTGATTGCACCATATTTCGTTCATGCTCTGAAATCCATGGAGTTTCAATTCCTCCAAGCTAGGGAATGCAACCTGCAAACCAAACAAGGACATCGATGAAGGTGGACAGTGTCCCATATCAGTGTCGTACATGTACATATCTAAGTTTGGACAAGGACATCGATGACAATGTCCCATCCCTTCCAAATTGTCAAGATGCTCAAGTTCTAGCACCTCCAAAGTGGGGAATACGACCTGAAAAGAACTCATTCTTTTAGTTGTAGTATAATGATAGTAGGAATGGTTATGAGATATGTACCTCTCTGTACTTTGTATGTGTTACCTAGAACTTTTTTAACCTTGAATTTCAAATTATTGGAATAAGATATGGTAGCCCATTTGATTTTGTTACTTGAACCAAAACAAAAATTAAAAAAAAAAAAAAAAAATCATACAAATCATTGTAAAAGTTAAGTAGCTTTGGTTTCACTAGCATTCTACTTTTTCATTTTACCTTCTCATTGAATAGAGTTTGCTTGACATTTTGGAGGCATTCTGTTGATGTAGCCAAAGTAGCAATCACTTTGGGAAAGAAACTCACAAGGATCGGTAGATCATAAAGCTGCAAAATTTTCAATTGAGTGAACTCAATTTTATCCACCGAGCTTTTGCCCTGCCCTTTCTCATCTGCAACAATCCTTGACATCATTTTACATCTGCTTATCTCCAATTCTTGGAGTTGTAACATACACTTCATCATGGAATGTGGGAATAGATATCTCAAGTTATCACAGTCATGAACATGTAGAATATTTAATTGTGAAATGTACATCAATCCAATGGGATCTCTCTTTGAAATATAATTCAGTTGGGGTAGACGTTTTAATTTTAGAGATTTCAAGAGCGAGAGCATCTCTGATTCTTGTTCCTTACAGTCCCTCATTTCCAATCCAAACACCTTCTCTAGTAAACTGAAATTTTCTACAGTTAGATCTTCAAGATTTCGCAGCCTCGTAAGAAATTGTGATGGAAAAACACAGAGCCATTTGCCACAGTGTTCTACATGTACTTTTTTAAGTTTAGAAAAGGAACCCACTGAGATTGGAATGTGTTCCAGCCCTTCCAGATTGTTAAGATCCTTGAGTTCTAGCTCCTCCAAGCTAGGTAATGCAACCTGAAAATAAAACTTTTGTCAGTAGTAGTTATAACATTTGTAGGAATGGTTATGGAATATCAATCTATCTTTGTCTCTCCTCTTGTAGTCCATCCACATATATGACCAATAATTTTTACAACCAAAAAGTTTAAATGAATGAAATAAGATATGATTGCCTTTTTTTCATTTGGTTATTGAGATCCAAAAAAAAAAAACAAAATACTAATCCTTGACAATGAAAAGAGAGAGAAGAGAAACAAATGATTGTGCCATTCAACTAAAGAAACTAACAATAGAATAAGTTACGTTCTAATAGTAAATTTCCATCCATGACCATGAATAGCAACAAATTGAAACAAATAATAGAATACAAGTAACTTTATACAATATAGAAACATAACAAATAATAAAGATAACAAATAGAATGGATCAATATTTGATAAAACTCAACTTAAAAACTATTTTTAAAATTTTGTAATGTAAATAATTTGGATGGTGCAAGCTATTGAAATTTTGTAAATGCGAAGTATTCAACTTATAATTATCGTCCTAATTAGTAGAACAATATATATAATTTTTAGAGGGATTTACTTATAGATCTTAATAGGTGAACTTATTGTCCATTAGGTCCTGTGAGAATTAATGGCATTTTTTATCAAATACTATTAAAAAAAAGTCATTAATTGTTAATTTTCAGCAACAGTTGAAAATTTTGTCACAAAAAAAAGTAGCTAATTTTCAATTTTCAGCGATAGTTTAAAAAATTCGTCACTGAAAAACATCACTAATTATAAATTTTAACGACAATTTATAAAAACCGTAAGAAAAAGTCACTAATTGTCAAATTTTAGTGACATGTAAAAAATCGTCACAAAAATTTATTTTTAATGGAGATTTTATTAAGATTTATTTTAAATAGGACTTGATGAAAATTAATTCCAATTACCAGGACCTATTAATAATTTGTCGTAATTTTTAAAAACTTCTGGGGTGTGACCGCCCAACCCACACCCCTACATCCATCCTTGGTAAGAAAATTTAGTAAGAAAATTAAAATTTTTTGATGCACCTAAAATGTAGATATTTGTGAAATATTTTTAAAAAATTCACTAAAGATTAGAAAAAACCAGTATATTTTTGTATTTTTTTTGCCTTTAGTTAATTTTTTTAAAGATTTTTTCATACATATTTACTTTTTAGATGCATCCAGAATAGATGTACTTATTGAGGAAGCCGTGTGGACATACCTTGTGGGGGAAAAGAGATAGGAAGGTATGGTTTTCCATTGACTCTGAAAACGGATTACTGCTATCGAGGAAGAGCCACTTGAGTTGTGGTAGACGATGAAGATGCAATTTCTTCAATTGAGGGAACTCAATCTCGTCAGTCCCTCTACAAAAACCAATGAGCATTGGTAGTTTCCACAAATTCATGGATTCTAACGCTGGAAACTCCATCTTGTTTGTTGCATCATCTTCTCCTTTTTCCTTCCAAATGACTTCTTCCATTCCATCAAGTTCATGAATATGAAGATGTTTTAGTTTTCCAAAAGAGCCGGTTGGAAGTTGGCAGTGACATATCTTTCTTAAATTGGGTAGATTACTGAGATCTAAGAACTCCAGGATAGGAAAAATAGGAGGAATAGCATTATGTGTATGCGGGACCCATTCCATTGTATTGACAAAACATTCTGGTGTAACACAATCATCAATTAATAGGTACTTCAAGTGTTGGAGTCCTTCAACTCCCTCTCGAAACAACTCTTGCACTGCATCCTCCGAACCCTTCCCCCTTAACTGTAGATCTGCAGTACTCCTTAACAACGAATTGATCCCACCGCAATCTAACGGGATAATACATGTGTCATGAAGATGGAGACTCAAAAACCTTCGGGGCCTAGTTATGTATTCTCTAGCAAAATAGGCGCTGGCACCATGACCTATCAAAATTGAGTATTTTGTCAATTTGCTAAACAATGGGATTCTTGGCAAACACACATCTTTTATATTAATCTCTAAAGTATTCAAATTGGACAAGGATTCAAACTCTCTTAAGCTCGCATTTTCTCCTCCTTCCTTGCCTTCTCCTTCCCAAATGATACCGCAGCCACCCATGTACAACTCTTGTAATTGGACTAGGGCTGATATGACACTAGGTGCTATTCTTTTAAGTTTACATCTTGTCAGATCTAACAACTTTAAATTAACCAGTCCTCCTATTTCCTCAGGTAACTCCTCAATGTTGGATTCACCAAACGTGAGGATTTCCAGATTCAATAGCTTTCCAATTACAGATATATTATCGAACTTCTGACTATGATCAAGATGCAATGCCAACAGGTTTCTCGAGAATTGCAGTGATGACGGCAGTAACGAGATGTCTTTCGTGATTCTCAGGTCCAATACTTTGAGTTCCCCCATGCCCTCAAAAAAATTGCTCGGTATTTTTAGCAGACTATTCTGGCATCGTATTAGTAAAAACTCAAGTTTTGAGCATCTCAATCCTCCTGGAAACTCTTCAATTTCATTTGATATCACCGAAATGGAAGTGTTAAGCTCATATGTCGGCTTCTTTGGCCACTTTCTCGATTTGGCACCATGGATTATCATAAAACCATGCTTATCTTTTGCCGCAATTGATATGGCGACATTGCGCACTACATCGTGCATTTTTATTTTTATTAGCAACTCGAGATCACCATCCAACAATAAATAACAACTTCTAAGTTGATCAACCAAGACATTCACTCGATCTCTTACTTCATCCACTTTGTCGATGCCTTCAAACCACCGCAATCCGATTCCGTATCGAACCAAATCTTCAATAGGAATTTCATAGTCTTCTGGAAACAAGCAACAGAGCAGAAACAGTTTCTTGGCTCTCTCATCTTGTAGAAAATTGTAACTAAAATATAGAGCCTGATACACTTTTGCAGGCACTTCTGACGACAAACTTTCTAAACAAGGGGTTCTTAGTTGTTGAAGCGCATTATTCCAATGATGTTGGTTGTGTTCGCTTGTAAGAGCCCTTCCGATAGTTATGAGGGCAAGTGGTAAACCTCCACATTCATTTACAATCTGCTTTGCTAGTGGTAGCAAATCAAGGTCGTCAGCACAATCGCCTACCTTCTCTCTAAAGAGATGCCATGGTTCTTCACCTACTAGGACTTCAAGTTGGATATACCTTTTATTTTGTATTCCTTTCCACATATTTCGATTTCGTGAAGTGAAAAGGATCTTACAACTCTTGTTGCTACCTCCTTCCAAAGGAAATCCCAACTCCTCTAGATCAAATTCTTCCCAAATGTCATCCAGTATGACAAGAATTTTCTTATTGTCTAGCAGAAGTCTCTTGCGTAGGAGACTTGCTCTTGCTATCGGGCTCTCCCTGTCATCAAGTTTGAGATCCAACATGTCTGCAATACACCCTTGAACCTTAGTTAGGTCTGGCTCTTGGCTGACAACTGCCATTGGAAATTCATTGAAGAGATTTTTGGTTCTTTTTGCAACTTCTTTTGCCATTGTTGTCTTGCCTATTCCGCCCATCCCGCATATCCCAATCAAGTGGATCCCATCATCTTTCAAAGCCTCAATGATCTCGTTCATGACCAGAATTCGAGAATCAAACCCCTGGAATCCTGTTGTTGTAGGTATAGGTTCTATGCTTGGTGGTGGTGGATTGTAGGACGACTGAATGTAGTTGCTACCCTCAGAATGGAGAAGAGCTAGTTCCTGAGTCTTCTTCACAGCTTTCCTGCCCAGTGAGCAACGCAACTTGAGATTTGGACACCACCCATTGAAACACCCCTTTTGAACTTGGGCCTTGTCTTTAATAATTGTCGCTGCCTCTGCTGTGTTGTCATTTGCTTTAGTCAGCCATGCCTCAAGATGAGGTCCAACGGTTCTGACATTGTTGCGTGTTTCATCCACCCCTAGTTGAACCCCTTCTCTTGTCACTTTTAGGCTGTCCAATTGAGTCTCAAGATTTTGAATGTTGGTGTTGAAGCAAAACAGATAACCAAACTGTCTGCCGATCGGAGCAACCAAGTACGCTCCAATTCCCCCCAGAGCTTTCCCCAAAAAGGAGAAACCAATTCCTTCAGCCATTTCTCACTTTTTTCTCTTTTTAATTTTTGGGCTTTTTTCTTGACATTTTTTTTTTCTTAAGAAATTATAAGGAAACACAAGATGAAAAAGCCAAAAAAAACAAGAAGAACAAAAGCAAAGATAGTACAAGAATCAAAAAGAGACAGCAAGACTGAAAGCAAAGAAGCAAAGACAGTACAAGAATCAAAAGGGCTTTTTTTTTGACCTTTTTTTTGTTCTTAAGAAATTAAAAGGAAACACAAGATGAAAAGACCAAAAAAACAACAAGAAGGAAAACAAAGAAGCAAAGGGAGTACAAGAATCAAAAGGAGACGGCAAGAATGAAAGCAAAACAGTACAGCCGTAATAAAAGGGAGATGGAGGTGAGAAAGTAAATGAACGCTCTGTTTTCAAGTTAAGTTACCTTGCTTGGTCTGGAATATGAAGAGGGAGATCTGAAAAAGCGTACACGCTGGAAACAAATTTCACCGCAGGTATAGAGCCTTTCACCCAAGCAAATTTCGGCAGTCACACTGGCTTGAGAGAGAGAGAGAGAGAGAGAGAGAGGAAACTAATCACCAATGTCCCAAGTTAGTCAACGTAGAAATGATCAGTTGGACCTCCCTTAGTTGCATTCGAAAATAATATTAAAAAAAGACCTCTTTTATTTATTTATTTATTTATTGTGAAATCTTAATAGTCAATCAATTGGTGCAATATATTTGTGCTGTTTGGTGAAGTTATTAAAAGATGATAATTTAAATTTAAGTGGTTGGTTGAAATAATTTAAATAAATATATTTTCTTATTTTTTGTGAAAATTTTTATAATATAATAAAAAAGTGATATGATTCAAATAAGATAAAATAATAAAAAGAAAATCTAAAGTACTCACTCCAAACAACCCCCAAAGGTATTTCTCCCTAGTTTTTAAAAATAACCTTATTTAAAATCAGCTTATTAAACAGTTTTCCACAGATTTTTAGAATAAAAAAATGCAGAATTACCCCTATAGGTTTGGAATTGCAATTACCTCATTTTCTCAAAAAATTTTAATTTAACAAAATTTATAGAAAAATAAAATTATTAAATATTTTCTTATACAATAATAAAATTATATGAATTATTAATTTAAATATAATTATGACATCATTAAAAATAATTAATTAACTTAATAATTTATTAATAAAATAGAGCATTTGTTATTTAATTAGAAACTTGAGAGGGTTAGATGTAGAATCACAAACCAATCTGTATTTTAAACAAATCTCAAATAAAATATTTATAATTTACCAAAACATTATTACTAGCACAAATAAATTATACTAAATAACCTCAGCAGATGTAAATTATGCCATCCACGTTTAACCCCTAAATTATTATTTCATTTGATCATATCCATCCATTTTAAGGAATAATCCTTGTGTGATTTTGGTGTCTTCTTCAATTCTTACAATAGAGGTTATGAAAAGTGATGTTATTAACATCTTATTTATTATTTTGGAACTCTATTTCTTTAGACCTTTATTTATAAATTTTAAAATTCTTAAAATTTATTTTTTTCTCCCAAAATTATATCAAAATTTATCCTTACGAAAATTTCACAATTGCTAAAATGCACACCCCCATACGCCTAAAAATCATTATCTCCCAAAACCCTAAAAGTTAAGACAAAAACCTAATGAAAAGCCCCGTTGATCACACACATTCTCTCTCATAGTGGACAAAAAACAAGTTTCTCAAATGAAGAGGACCTCTATGATTTACCTTTTTGGTAAAATAAATTTATTTGCATATAATTGAATTTTTATTTCACAATAATTCTTCTTCTTCTTCTTCTTCTTCTTCTTCTTCGATGGCCAAGGGCCTCTCTTCTATGCTCTCTTCTATAATTAGGGATTTCGATTCTAGAGCTGAAGATATCGTTCGTAGCCAAGGTCAGCTCTTTTTTTTTTCCCCCCCTTCAAAGCGTATCAAATTTCCTTACTCAAACTTGTGTTGCGAATTAATTAACTTGTAACATCCCCAAATAATTAACATTTGATAATCAAGATTAACTCATCAACGTGTGTAACACCCTACACATATAATTCCCAATAAACAATTAAAAGAACATTCTCCACATAAACACATGACACAATCCCATGCAAATGTTTCTCTTTCTCATTGAACTACAGATTTTGTTTACAAAATCACAAAATACTTATCTCGATTCAGTGAGCTAGAGAAGATTACAAAACAATTACATTGTCCTCGAAGTTACTAATTACATTGTGACATTTAATACAAAAATACAAAATTCAAAATAAAAGTAGAAAAGGAGTTTCACAATTACATTACAACTTCAAGTTCACAAAAATTTAGATTTTTTAAAAGAGGTAGTCATTTTCTTCTTCTTCATTGACGATTGTGGGGCTCTTCATTTCCTAAAATATTAGTAAATAGGAATAAGTCATTTCCCAGTAGAGAATAACTTTAACAAAGTATATAAACATTTGGTCTAAATATGCATGACCTTTATTAATGCCCATGAATTTCCATTGGTTTAGAAATTATTACACAACACACAATTCACCATTCAATCTCCACATTTTTCCGTCCTTACACGGATAACTAGTGGACACCTCAAACATTCCACTTTCTTCGTCCTCGCAAGAATCGGCCAGTGGACACCTCACAACATTCCCTACATTCGTCGCCCTCACGTGAACTGACCAAGTGGGCACCTCAAACACATTCCAAAATATTAACATTTTAAACACAACACAAATAATCACAAGGACTCCCCAATTTTACTTAGCCATTAACTGTTAAGTCAAAATAAAAAACAACCCTTAGGGTTACATATGAAAATTTGGGGCTTTTCGTTTCAACTATTTATTTTCCTTGATTCAAGTACATTTACTCATTATTTCATAATTGATTCCACAATTCACCATCAATTTCACACAAACACTTCATCGACACAAAGCCCATATATATATATATACATACATATATACCACATCCATCTCAATAGTTCCACATCACACACATTTAAGCCAAAATATAAATATACAAGGGTAAAGGTATTCCTACATCAAGGTTGCACGAAGAGAGACAAAGGTCCACGCGATGAGCTTCTGAAAAAACACAATCTAATCGGTTGAAAATGTAGCTCTTGATGAGGATAACAACTTTAATGAAGGCCCAAAGATCAATTCTTGCTCTTATAGATGAAATCTAGGGTGTTCTAGCTAGGGTTTTGGAAAGAGGGCTATTAGAGAGAGGAGTGCGAGAGAAATAAGTTAGAAAAGAGTTTGGATGGTAATATAACCCTGCTACCCCGACCAGACCGCTCGAGTGAACTTTCCACAGCTCGAACGGTGAACACAATGTCTCAAAAGTTTTGCAGAGCTACAGTGAAAATACTAGGAGCTCGCATTTTATACGCAAGCAACCATTCCTTCACTCGAGCAATCTCACCTGCAAACACATACGAGATACTAGGAGTTGCAAATCTTTGCTCAAGCAACCAAATGACCGCTCGGGCAAAAACAGCTGTTACAGCCTACCTCCCTTAAGGAATTTCATTCCAACACTTCATAGTTCCTGCCAAAACAACTCCAACAATTCCCAGGAAAAATGAATATCACAATAACAATAGTTTCAATCATTACCACTTCTCAAACTAAAACAAAATCAAAGTTAACTTCAAACAACAACATAGAAATTTAGATTTCTTTCTTTTACCCCTATTTTACAACATTCCCCTATAATGATCTAAGATTAACAAACAAGCAAGTTTACATGTCATTAAATAAATCAGGGTATTTCTCACGAACTTTAGTTTCTCGTTCCTAAGTGGCCTCTTCCACACTGTGGTGACGCCATAACACTTTAATTAAAGGAATGACTTTGCCTCTCAAAATTTGTTCTTGGGTGTCCAAGATCTTCATCGATCTGTCTTTATATAAAGCATTATCGTCCAAATCTAAATTTGTCCAATCCAAGACATGGGAAGGATCAGGTTCATACTTGCAAAGCATGGAGACATGAAACACATCGTGCACTCCGGATAATTGTGGTGGCAATGCAAGGCGATAAGCTACCTCTCCCACCCGTTTTATAACGTCAATGGTGCCAATGAACCTAGGTGACAATTTTGTGCTTCGACCAAATCTCATTAAACATTTTCTAGGTGATATCTTCAAAAATACATGATCACCCACATCAAAAGATAGGGGTCTTCTCCTCCGGTCTGCATAGCTCTTTTGTTGACTCTGAGTTGTTACTAACCATTTTCAAATAAGAGCTATTTTCTCAGTGGCCTTACAAACCAATTTCGGTCCAAGCATAGGTGAATCTCCCACCTCGGTCCAACACACTAGTGACCTACATGGTCGCCCATACAAAGCTTCAAAAGGAGCCATCCCAATGCTAGCTTGATAACTATTATTGTAGGCAAATTCCACTAAAGGTAGGTGTCTCTCCCAAGAACCTTTAAAATCTAGTACATAAGCTCTCAACATATCTTCTAAAGATTTGGATAGTGCACTTGGACAGTCCATTGGTTTGTGGGTGGTAAGCGGTCGTAAAAGTTAACTGAGTGCCCATAATAGTTTATAGGCTTTGCCATAACCATGTGGTAAAACAAGGGTCTCGATTCGAGACAATACTTACTGTAGCTGGTTTTTTGAGCTCCTCAGAAGGGCTTAGTCTCATCGGGTACGATAGCCCTATAGTTCAGACTCCCATGGTTCTGAATCTAGTTTCACAAGTGCAATGTGAAATAGAAAAATGAATGAGAGTCTAAATTCAAAAAATCCTAGAAAATCCATTAATCATCAGAGATGACAAAAATGGACTGCATTGCCAGATTTCAGAATCGTCACCTAAATATTTGTGAAAATTTTAAGAAACCCGTGACTCATGCCAAAGGCCACTTGTCCGTCGTAACCAAAGTTGTCTCAGCTCGAGAAATTAGGTATGAGAAGGGAAGGTCATGAATTGAGTACCTCACTCACCCAATCAAAGATCGGCCTCTAATAATCATGATGTGAGACATACAAGTATAGATAGTTTTGCTTGCTTTGGAAATAACTTGATTTTATGTGATTCTTTTAAAAGAGTTTTGAGTGCACACAACTTAAAAGGAAAGAAATGAGCTCGCAAAAACATTTGACGAAGATCATCCACAGTGCAAGTAAAATAACCTTCATCCACAGGCATTCAAAGAGGTATTTCAAATAAGCACTTCAAATAAGCACGTAGCCTCATGGTAAGATACTAAGCATGGCAACAATCACACATACAAATATGCTAAAGCTAAAAATGCTCACCTAGTACACCGAGGTAAGCCAAAGAAAAAAAAAGCAATTATAAAAATGCATGACCCTAACAATGCACATGACTAATGCAACACATACAA